ACAGAATAAGGGCATTGTAAGAAACAACTCTCTTAAGCCACAAAATGGCTGAACAAACTTTCAAAGTTGGCAAAGCAACTAAAGCCAAAACATGGCTGAAACACACAAACAAAGCCAAACCAAACCTGATAGCCAAAAAAAGGCTGAACAAAACAATCTAGCCAACATTTGGCTGAAAAAAACAAAACATATAGTAGAGGAAAGCAAGCCACACAAAGGCTAAACACATATGAAATCAAAGCCAAGGACTATTGACCCTGCACAAAACCTTGCAGATGCAATTGTTTTATCACACACATGCCAGGCTTGCTTTGGTGTGTTTGTACACAAAGTCTCACAGCTGGCATCTATGTGCCTTCTTTGCCTTTCTTGGCAGTCAGTGCTGCAGAAACATCTGTCTCTTTGAGAAGAGTTGTCTGCTATTGGTTATGTCTTCCTTGCCTTCTTGGCAGGTGGTGTGGCAGAAACATCTTTCCCCTTGAGCAGGGGTGTCTGCTCTGCAACCTGCTTGGGGTTCTCCAAGACTGGAATGATTAGATCTTTGTAGGTCTTCCAAATGACCTGAAGGTTGGCTTCCTGCTCATCTTCAGTGGCCTTGACATAGAAGTATGCACACACAACTCCTGCCTCTTCACTCTTGATGGGGTTGTAGGCCTTGAAGCCTTGCACCTGGTAGGCTACCCCCCTTGAATTTGACCAGGATTGCACCCTTTGCTAAGAGGTCATCTGTCTTGTGTTGGTCCTTGACCTTTGCCAAAGTTCCCACAGGGTAAAGCTGCAGCTCTTTCACCTTGAGCTTCCTCAAGGCAAGCAAGCCATTGGGAAACTTTGTGAATGCCACCATGTCCACATTTGCCTTGTTGTTCTCTTTGTAAGCCTCTGCCAACAAATAGCTTGCACACATTTTGTCCCACTCATCCAAAACTAGTGGGCAAGCCTCAGGAAGTCGATCCTTGATAACATCTCTGGGGCAAAGCTGGCACATTTCTTTCTTAGTGCTCTTCCAATCCTTCAGCTCTTCCACGCTGGCCACAACTTCAAGAGTCTCACCAAACAATGGAACATGCTTGAAGACACCACAACCATCCTTGATGCCCTCCAATGCAAATACCTGCTCCTTGTAGTCCTTGTGCATGTAGTTCTTTCCAACACTGATGTGGCTGTTCTGCAACATAGCTACTTCATCTGGGCTTGCTTTGAGCAAATCCTTTACTTTGTCAGCATCAGTCGCTTTGACAGCTGCAACACTTGAGCTTGGCACATGTTCACCCCCCTTCAAGGTCAACAGAAAGCTCTTCTACAATAGCTTGGAATGAATCAAAGGACAGTCCATCTCTGCTAAACTTCTCAAACTTCTCTTTCTGCAATGCATGCAGGACAAGCCGCACACAAAACTTACCAAAGCTCATTTCACCCAGGGCTTTGTTTGCCACCTTCTGGCATGAAGCCCAGCCCTGGGAAAGAAGGTCTTCCATGGCCAAGGTTGTGCTCTTGCCCTTCAACTTGTCAAAGTCTGATTTGAAGACAAGTTTTGATATTCCATCCTGGTGGCGCTTTGAGCTGAGAATTGTTGCCAATAAGGCAATGCGAAGGAAGTTGAGCTGGCATCCAGGCAACCTGAAATTGTAGTGGGCAAGCAAGTTGGTGTTTTCCTCACCAACCAAAAGGGAATGGCCAGAAGCTTTGCCTTGGCCAAGCAAGCCAAAAGAGACTCTGTTGAAGATATGCCACAAACAATCACTCAAATACATTAAACATTGTTGCCACAAGCCAAGTCACAGAACCCGTCCAACCAGAGCAGCATTGGGAAGGTGTCCCCTCCTGAGTAGAGGCGCATGAACTGTGCACAGTCATCTATGTATGCTTTGCAAGAAGGGCTGCTTTGGCAAACAGCTTGAACTGCATCTTGCATCCTCATGCCACTTCTGTGTAGGGCAGCAAGTTCCATCATTGCCTCCAGCTCATTGGTCAAGATGGTGTTGCTGTTGTGTGCATTCATGCTCATGGAGCAAAAAGCAGGCAAGTCTGGAAACATCACAGCTGCCTCTGCTTTCAACATTGTCCACTGCCAGCCAGATTCCACCAATGCCTTGATCTCTGGTGTCATGTGGAGCTGTGTTCCATCTGCCTTGGTGCACCCATGGTCAAGGGCCCTGCAAAACTGGTTGAAGTGGGAGCTAGCTAAACTCAAGAACCTCTCCCCACCTTGGAGAGGTGCAAGCATCCCTTTGCTTTGGCCAATCATCTGCTGATTGGCTCTCAATTGCTTTGACCTCTCATCAGGTCCAACTGCAAGCTCAATCCCCAAAGAATTGGGTGGTAACAAGTCTTTCTTCAAGCCACTTTGCAGCACCTGAGTGCCCTTCAAATGCACATTGTGTGCATTGCACATGGAAGTCCCTCTGTTCTCAGGGTGACACATGATCTCTCTTGGAGAAATCATGGCTTTGTATGCCAAGCCCACCTTCTCCAAAGAAAGCAGGATCTTCTCCAGCTTCACATGAACACCAGTAGTGTTGGCTGGGTCGAGGAGCTCTTTGATTTCCTCTTGGACATCTGCAGGCACAGCCATGGCTCTATCACCCAAACTGAGGTGGCTGATCTTTTGGAAACTGTTCCCCATATATGTGTTGCTCATGTTCTGCTATAGCTACTATTGGGTTCGCAACCTTGTACCATTTGGCTGAAATGCTGGTAGCACTCTTGCATCAGCCTCACACTGAAAAAGGCTTTGAAGCCTTTTATGGCAGCAACCATAGAGTAGGTAAACTTGTTGTTGTAAACATAGCAAGCATATCCATTCATGCAAACATAGCCAACATGGCTGAAACACAACATAGCCAACATGGCTGAAAAAACCAACAAAGCCAAAATGGCTGAAACACAGCATAGCCAAAATGGCTGAAACACAACATAAAGCCAACATGGCTGAAAAAACAACATAAAGCCAACATGGCTAAAAAAACTAGCATTGCTGAAAAAGCCAACATGGCTGAAACACAAAGCCACCATGGCTGAAGAACAACAAAAACAAAACAAAGCCACCATGGCTGAAGAGTAAAGAGGAACAAAGCACTTGGCTGGCCTTTTTGCTCAAGCATCCATTGTTGCAAATGTCTTATTGGCACATCTCACTCTTCTACATCTGAGTCTTCTATCTCATTGTTGGCATCCCTTTTGAATTTCCCACTCTTGTCATACTTCCTTTTGGAAGTCAAGAGCTGGCAGTCTGGCTCCAAGAACAGAATCACTGCCTGCAGCTGTATGGGATCCAGGCACACCTGTAGATCTGCTGCAGTGCCCGTGAACCTGGCCTGAGGCCGAATAAAACCTGGCCTGAGGCCAACGCCAACATGAATCGAGTGTTCAGTTGCCTGCATCATCAGCAGACATGAACCCCTCAGAGGCATCACTATATATATGATGCCTCTATGCGGGAGCGCAGGGGGCTGAAACGCTCACAAAAGAAGTAGCACACAGTGCACCAGCCAATCAGCGCAAACACACATAGAGCTGCAAACCATGGCGTCTCCAAGCAAATGCACTTGCACATTGCAAAAGCATAGCGGTGGTCATGAAAACACATTGGATTGAAATCCTGAATGTCCAGTGTGGGAACATACCTGACCTCTTCTGCCATGGAAGAAAACACATCCTGTCATGATTCTAATACCCTTCTTGGACCAGAGTCTAGAAGCGGTAGCACAGCAGCAACAAAACACACAAATGCAAACAACTTTCAATAAATTGTTTCCACAAAAGAAAACAATTAAAACAATTGTCAGAACAATTGTTGAAACAATTTCCAACCTCAAAAGAATATTTCGCTTGTTTTTTTGGCGTCCCCATCACCGGAGGTTTTGAAAACATTTAACGAGTAAGGTTTCCTTGTTCTGGATGAGCTCTTTCAGCTGCAAGCTGAAATTATCCAAGCAAC